AGGCGGAAGAATCGCTGGAGCCCAGCAGGTCGAGGCTGCGGTGGCCGGGAGCGGCCACTGAGACTCCAACTCAAAAACAAACAAACAAAAAGCATACCTAATCCTTAACAGGCAAAGTGAGGATCAACGGGAGATTCAAACTCAAGCAAACTCAAAATCTAGTCTGTACAATGGTCACTTATGTATCTAGTCCTGAATTGTACCCCACATCTCTAAAATAAAAAAAGGAAAAAATAAAAGTCCATCTCCAATGGGTTTGTAAAAAACAATTTTTTTAACTTACAAAAAATATTTAATCTGAAGAAAAGCATGAAAACGAAAAAAAGGAAGAGAAAGCAGATGAGACAAACAGATGCAAAATAAGACATGAACAAAAATATATTCATACCAATAACTACATTACAAGTAAATGGTCTCAACACTCCAATTAAAAGGCATAAATTGTGGAAGCAGTCCTTTATATATTCTAGGCACAAGCCCTTTTTTCAGATACTTGTATTAGGAATATATTCTGCCAGATTAAGTTTTAATTTCTTGTTATTTTGATGATTCTATCTTATCTTTCTGGACAAGTTTATAAAAACAACTTCAAACATACAAAAAAAGATACATATACAGTACAAAGAACTGTTGTCTCTGAACCATTGGAGACTACAGTTGCCAATCTGATGCCACAAAACCTCCAATACTTGTATATGTATTTTCTATAAACACGGACATGTTCTACAGACCACAATACAATCAAGAAAATCAGGAAATGAACACTGATACGTTACTTCCGTGCAATCATCAGTACACATTTAAGGTTCGATGACTGTCTCAATAATGTATAATAAAAGGACCCAGTTCAATACTACATATTGTATTCAGTTGTCTCCTTCAATATGAAACAGCTTCTCAGTCTTTCTCTTGATTTTCATGACATTGGCACTTTTGATGATTACAAATCAGTTTTTTTGGTAAAATAATCTTTTAGTTTGATGTAACATAGATTTCTTATGATCAAACTAATTTTCTGTGTAAATAATACATCATTCCAATACTTACTTAATAGTCCATCCTTTCCCCATTGGTTTGTAATGTCCCTTCTATTACACAGTGAAGTTTTGCATGTATGGGTGTGTTTCTAGGCTTTATATTCTACTCCACTGACTTTTCTGTCTAAATATCATGCTGTTTTAATCATTATAGCCTTACATTATTAACTGCACTCTACACCATAGTTATCTTTCTCTGAAAACAATACTCTTTCACAATCTGTTGTGTTAGCAAAAACTATGCTTTCACCTACTCCCAACCCTTCAACCTCCCAATGAACCTACCAACAACAAAGAATTTGCAATTTTATTCTTTTAAGATCCACCCAATCATCATCTTTTCCAAACCTCTCAGATAAGTAGCTTCACCTTTCTGTTTTTCACTTCACAATACCCAATTCAAATCTCTATATCACTTAAAGCACACAGTACTAAAATTACCTATTTACATACTGGTCTCCTTCAGTTTGCTGAGTGTATTTCAAGGCATGGATAGTATGTCTTAACTTTACATTATCAGAACATAGCACAGCAACCATATGTAATAATATAGATTTAAAAGAATAAAGGAAAATCCTTAAATGGATCTATGTTTTTACAAAAGCAGGACTCCGTTTTGCAGATGCTTTAGAAGCTATAATAATATCTCTTCAAAGTACACATTAAGAGTATCTGAAAATAGCCAGGCTCGGTGGCTCAGCCTGTAATCCCGTGCCTTTGGGAGGCTGAGGTGAGTGGATTGCCTGAGCCCGCGGGTTCGAGACCCGCCTGGACAGCAAGACCTCATCTCTACAATAAATCAAAAAATCAGCCGGGCGTGGTAGCGCATGCCTGTAATTCCAGCTACTTGGAAGGCTAAGGCAGAAGGATCGCCGGAGCCCAGCAGGTCAAGGCTGCGGTGGCCGGGAGCGGCCACTGCACTCCAGTCTGGGTGACAGAGCGAGACTCCAACTCAAAAAAAAAAAAGAGTATCTGAAAATTGAAAGTATTCATACCTTCAGTGTCTTGATCATAGTTGGATCAGTTGATCTAACATAGAAACTCTTCAGATATGGTTCAAACATGCCCTAGATCACATAAAAAAAAAAAAGTACATTTATGGTTTTAAGGTACTCATGTATCCCTTAAATTGTGCATTTAAAATGTACATACCGTGGGGAGAAAAAAGAGATAGCAGAACCAGCAGGACTGTGTGAGTCACAGTGTGAGTGAGTGAGTGTATAGACAAATTTTCATGTGTGTCTGTTTGTAAATGGGCATGTGAGTGGCTGAGGGAGTGAGTACTCAGGAGCAAACGGTCAGAGCTCTACTGGAGAAGTGGCTGGTGTTAGCAGCGCTATGCTTGAACTCTAGCACTTCCCAGGATGCAGAAGCTGAGCACCATTTTCTGCAAACAACAAACCTTTTCCCGGAAAGAAACTGCCAGGAGCAACAGCAGTTGCCAGACTGCCCAACCACCACAGCGCCAGGCTGGACACTGGCAGTGAGGGCTGTGAAGGGAGTGCAGGGAGGGACCCAGAGGCAGAGTACCACTGGAGAAGACGAAACAGGCACCCCACCACTATCTTGAACCCTGGGCAGGGAAGTGCTCCAGCTTGCTCACTATGGAGCAAAAGACCTACTCTCTCTGTGACCATCAGGTTAACTACTCAGGGGTTGATCATAACCCAGAGGGAATATCCTGAAAGCACAAACTTCAGAGGAATAGAATTAAGTGTGGAGTCTCGGGTGCCCCACTCCCCTACCCTGATCCAGCGTGGGATAAAGGGTGTGACCAGAAAAGGACAGGGAAGACACCCCCCCCAAGAAATCAGTGGTGAGTCCTAGGCTCACCCAAGCCTCTCCTCCCCAACAATCCTCTAAACATCAGACCCACACAGCTGGGACACGACTTAGAAGGACAAACCCAGGTGAAGCATGGATGGCAGTCACACTTGAAGAACTCTACTCTGGGATAAGCCTGACTAGGGTACACCCCGCCAGTACCTAGGGAGAAAACAATCCCACACCTCTCCACTGGAGGGGATCCCCCTGTCCTTAGGGGAGAGAGAAGGGAGGAATGTTACCACACCCACCCCCGCTATTTCCCCCACTCCGGGTTGCACACTGGGGAGACTGTGAACAAGCCTGCATCCCAACAAAAGACAGAGCTTACCTATGAGCAGCTAAGAGAAAATAATTATAGAACCTGCCACAAGAGGGTGGATAGTACACAGAAATTCTTTTTTTATTCTTCTTTTGTTTTGGATAAGTGTGTGTGTCTACATGTGTGTATGAGGGTTCAATTTGCATTCACTGCCCCCCTTTTCTTTTTGTTTTGTTCTTTGGTTTAGTGTGTGTGAATGTGTACTTGAGGGTTCAATCTGCATTCCTCCCCCCCCCTTTTTTTTTTTTGCTTCTTCCTCTTTCCTTTTTGGGGGGTATGTGTGTGTGTGTGTGTGTGTGTGTGTATGTTTTCCTGTTGCTTGTGCTTTTTTGTATTTTCTGTGGATTTAGTTTTTTCATTTTCTTTTTGTCTTTTTATTTCTTGTTTTTGCTTTTGTTTTTCTGTGTTTTATTTTTTATTATTTCTGTCCATTCTAGTTCATTCTGCTTTTCTGTTCTCCTTATTACTGTTACTTTATCTTGGGCTCAGGGGGGACACACACATACCCACTGTATCATCATATAGAATGGTGGTGGGGAGTGGGTATCAGGAGGCCCACACATCAGTAAGTGAACACCGTAACTTGCAAGTAGACTTTGAATCCTAACTCCACACCCTCCACCTTACTCAACTCAAAACTGCAAGAAACAGCAAAGTTTCCCACCCCTTTCCCTGTTTCAAAACAGAACAAATTTGAAGGCTCTTATCAGGGCAGAATAGAGGGATGAGAAAACAGCAAAAACGAAAGCCTGCCCACTACCACTGAATAACAGAATTTTTAAAAAAGAGAGAAATCTGTCACAAATGAAGAAAAATCAACAGGAGAACACAGGTACCAAACAGACAATTCTGGAAAAATCAGACCTCAGAGTCCAAACAATGGAAATCACTAATAACTGGCCCCAGAATACAACAGGAAGGAAAAGGAAGAAAAGAGTGACTAAGACTCAAGAAAGACAAGAGGCAACACTGAAAGAACTTATAAACAGAGACTTTGGGCATTAAAAACTTCATCAAGAAAATAAATAACAAGATGACAAGCATGGAAAGCAGAATCAACCAAGTAGAAGAAAGAACCTCAGAGTTTGAAGACTAAAACATGGAATTAACCCGATCTAATAAGAATATAGAAAGAAAACAAAGAAAGAAAGAACAGAGCCTCCAAGAGATGTGCAGTTATATCAAGAGGCCGAGCGTAAGTCTGATCAGTATCCCAGAAGAAGAAAGGGAAACGGAGAACCCCTTGGAACAAAAATTCCAGGAGATTATCCAAGAAAACTTTCCCTGTCTCACCAGAGATGCGACCATTCAAACACAAGAGATACAGAGAGCCCCTAAAAGACACCAAATGAGAGGACCAAGTCCTAGAAACAGTAATTCACCTACACAAAGTAGGAATAAAAGAAAAAAATCCTAAAGACAGCAAGAGAAAAAGGTCAGACTACCTACTGGGAAAGATCAAATAGCAGCAGACATCACCACAAACACTACAAGTTAGAAGAACTGGAGTCCAGTTTTCAAAGTCCTCAAAGATAAACAATTTCAACCAAGAATTTCCTACCCAGCCAAGCTCAGCTTCATCAGTGTTGGAGAATTAAAGTCTTTCCCAGATCTCCAATACCTAAAAGATTATGCTATTTCCAGACCAGCTCTTCAGAAGATGCTCAAGAAGGTATTATGCACAAAAGAAAAAAGAAGGAACAATCAAGCACTTCCCATGAATGTAGGAAACCACAGAATCAACACAACAGTCGTGACTACAAAATTGAAAACACATACATATATAAACCCAAAAGTTAAAACAAAGCAGCCTGATAAGATCTCATGACAGAAATAAACCCTCACATTTCAATAATCAGCCTGAACATCAATGGATTAAATGCACCACTGAAAAAACACAGAACGGCAAACTAGATTTTTTTTAAAAACAACAAAACACAATCAACAATATGCTGCCTCCGGGAAACACATTTCACTACAAAGGACGCCCACAGACTCAAAGTTAAAGGATAGAAAACAAACTTTCAGATAAATGGAAAACAAAAAAAAGGTAAAGCTGCAATTTTAATACACATAAAAACAACCTTCAAGAAGAAGAACCTGGATTTATAAAGTGACTACTAAGTAAAGTATAAAAGAATATTGACTCTAACACTATCATAACTGGGAACTTAAATATCCCACAAACAACTCTAGATAAATCATCAAGGCAAAAAAATCAACAAGGAGATCCAGAACCTCAACTTGATGCTTGACCACATGGACTTAAATGATAACTACAGAACACTCCACCCAACAACCACAGAACATATATTCTACGCATCATCACATGGAACATACTCCAAGATCGACTACATCCTCAGTCATAAATTGAGAATAAACAAATTCCATAAGATCTTAATACTACTGTGCAGTACACCTTCTCAGACCACAGTGGAATAAAAATAAATATCACCACCAACAAAATCCCACCCCAAAACACACAAAAACATGGACACTAAACACTACAATGCTGAACAACTTCTGGGTAAACACAGAAATTAGAAGATTATTGGAAACAACTGAAAACAAAGACACATCTTATCAAAACCTCTGGGTTGCCATGAAAGGAGTACAAAGAGGGGAATTTATTTCTCTACAAACACACATCAAGAAAATAGAGAGATCAACAATCTAATAAAACACCTAAGGGAGCCGAAAAGGCAAGACCATCAAAACCCTAACTTGAGCAGAAGAATCCAGATCACTAAAGTAAAAAACCCAAATACAGGATGTAGAAGGCAAAAGTGTCATAAAAAAAAAAAAAATTAATAAAAAATAATCTGGTTCTTTGAAGGGATAAACAAGATTGATGGACCCCTAGCCAGACTGACCAAGTAAAAAAAACCAAAATTCCAAATAAAAAAAATCAGAAACACAAAAGATCAATTCACAACCGACCCCAGAGAAATACAAAAGATTATCAGAGACTACTATGCACACCTATATGGAAACAAAGTTTAAAAATCTAAAAGAGATAGAAGACTTTCAGACATTACACAACCTCTCAAGGGTGAAATAAGAAATAGAGACCCTAAATAGACCAATAACAACCTGGGAAATTGACTCTGTCATAAGAAAAATACCAAAAAAAAAGCCCTGGACCAGACGGCTTTCCAACAGAATTTTACAAAACATACAGGGAGAAGCTGATACCAATCCTACTGAAAGTATTCCAGGCAATCAAGAAAGACAGAACTCTCCTCAAAACATTTTATGAAGCTAACAGCAAACTAATACCAAAACCGGTCAAAGACCTAACAAGGAAAGAGAACTACAGGCCAATATCTCTGATGAATATAGATGCAAAAATTCTCAACAAGATTCTAGCAAATTGGATCCAACAACACATCTCAAAATTATCTACCATAACCAAGTAGGCTTCATCACCAGGATACAGGGCTGCTTTAACATCTGCAAGACCACAAATGTAATTAAATACATCAACACATGTAAAAACAAGAACCACATGATCATATCATTAGACACAGAAAAGGCTTTCGGCAAAATTCAGCATCCATTCTTGATAAAAACCTTTGAACACCTAGGAATAGAGGGAACATCCCTCAAGATAATAAAAGTCATCTACAATAAACCCATAGCCAACATACTACTAAATCGACAGAAACTGGAAGCACTGACCCTGAAAACTGAAACAAGACAAGACTGCTCATCCTAACCCCCTTGTTCAACATGGTGTTGGAAGTCCTATCTATAGCAATCAGATAAGAGAAGGAAGTCAGGGGTATCCAAATAGGAAAAGAGGAAATTAAGCTATCGCTCTTTGCAGACAATATGATACTACACCTGGAAAATCCAAAGGAATCTGTCAAAACCTCCTTGCACTGATAAAGGACTTTGACATAGTCTTAGGGTATAAAATCAACATGCAAAAGACAGTCACATTTTTATATGCCAACAGCAAACAGGCAGAGAACTAAGTAAAAAGTATAATCCCATTCACAACAGCCACACACAAAAAAGAAATACCTTGGCATCTTCCTAATCAGAGAAGGGAAAGTCCTTTACAAAAAAAACTACAAAACACCACTCAAAGAAATCCAAGATGACACAAACAAATGAAAAAATACGGCATGCTCAAAGATTGGAACAAACCTGTAATCCCAGCACTTTGGGAGGCCAAGGCAAGTAGATTGCCTGAGCCTGAGGGTTCAAGACCAGCCTGGCCAACTTGGCGAGACCTCATCTCTCATCTCTACATTAAAAAAAAAAAAATAAGCAGGGCAAGGCAGAGCGCGCCTGTAGTTCTGGCTACTTGGAAGGCTGAGATGGAAGGATCACCGGACCCCAGCAAGTCAATGCTGGGGTGGCCATGAGCGTGCCACTGCACTCCAGCCTGGGCAATGGTGAGACTCCAACTCAAACAAAAAAAATTGGAACAATCAACATTGTTAAGATGTCCATCGTACCAAAGGCAAGCTACAAATTCAATGCAATACCGACTAAATTACCATCATCATTCTTCTCAGAGCTGGAAACAACACAGAAATTCATATGGAAACAAAAACGATCACAAATAGCCAAAACAATCCTCAGCAAAAGAAAGAAAGCTGTAGATATCACATTCTCAGACTTTAAACTTTATTATAAGGCTACAATAATAAAAATAGCCAGGAATAGGCATACAGACAAATGGAACAGAATAGAGATTTGGGAAGCAATACCTCAACTTCTCAACCTACTCATCTTCAACAAAGTCTCCACCAACAACCACTGGGGAGAGGAGAACCTATTTAGTAAATGGTGCTGGGGAAAACTGGCTGATCACATGCAGTATAATGAAACAGGACTCCTGCCTATTACCATACACAAAAATCAACTTCAAATCGATCAAAGATCTAAACGTAAAACCTCAATCTATAAGAATCTTAGAAAATGGAGGAGACACCCTTGTGGAAACTGGAATAGGCAATGAAATCCTGATCATAATGCCAGATTTCCCTGCCATAAGAGATAAGATAGACAAGTGGGATCTCATCAAACTGAAAGGCTTCTGCAAAGCAAAAGAAACCATCAAGAGAGTGGGGAGACAATCCACAAAATGGGAAAAGATATCTGACAACTGTATATCTGACAAAGGCCTAACATCCAGGACCTATGAGGAACTCAAATGTGCCAAACGAAAAAAAACAAACAGCCCCATTAAAAAGTAGGCAAAAGAAATGAGTAGACACTTCTCAAACGAAGATATATAGGCAGCCAACAGACACATGAAAAAGTGCTCAACCTCATTTATCATCAGAGAAATGCAAATCAAAACCACACTGAGATACCACCTAATCCAAGTAAGAATGGCCATCAGTAATAAAACAAAAAACAACATATGCTAGCAAGATGCGGAAAAAAAGGAGTGCTTCTACACTGTTGGTGGGAACACAAACTAATCCAGCCTCTTTGGAAAACAGTGTGGTGATCTCTACAAGAACTAGAAATTGACCTTCCATATGACCTAGCAATCCCCCTTCTGGGAATATACCTGGAGGAACTCAGATCATTCTACAAAAAAAGATACCTGCACACGCATGTTTATTGTACCACTATTCACAATAGCAAAAACATTGAACCAACTACGTTGCCCACAGAAAGTGAACTAGGCAAAAAAAAGGTACATATGCACGATGAAATACTATGCAGCCAGATAGAAGGACAAAATTATGGACTGCATAGCAACTTGGACAGATTTGGAGTCTACCACACTCGTGATCTATCAGAGGAACAAAGAACTGAGTACCACAAGTTCTCACTCATAAATGGACCTTGAATACCTACCATAATACAACAAAAATATGGATTGGCAGTAGTGGAACACTGCCAGGGGAGGAGGAGCACATGACGTTAGTATGGGCAACTGAACCTAATCCAGGCGAAGCGAAGACCAATGGTTGGCTCACAACTTCACCTTTACCTAAACCACTTATTCATGCAATCTTGACTTGTACTCCACAACTTTAAAATAAGATAAAATTTTTAAAATGTACATACCTTTCTTTGAATTGACATAGTTGCTATATTTTGTAGGACAATATACTGCACCTCCCTAGAAATTAAAAGAGAATTTTCACTGAGTATATTTTCTAATGAAACATCTTTGATTAAGCAGTAAAATAATGAAAAAGAATCAGCAATAAGTTTCATGGTGAGACTAATATTTAAATGTAGTATTAAAAAGTTTTTAGTAAATCTTAGATATGTGTGCCTTTTTACAAATGCACTTTTCCTATAAAATACTAATGAATTAGATGTCATTTGTCATGAGAAAGAGTTAAAACCAATTTTATAATAATTTATAATAACTCCTAAAATATGAAGTCAAGTCTGTAACTGCTATGAACATATGCAAGGAAGGTATTCGTAGGGTTAATGAGGTAAACATCACCATAGTGTTAATATAAACTCTGAATGGGAACCTCATTCTGTCACTCAATCTTGTCCAGAGTGAAGACTAGATTTAAAAAGCAGTCATGTTATTTTTAAGTCCAAATATCTAATGAACTGAATCTGGCAAAAAGCTTCATGAGAAAGACTCATCCTAGATCTTTCTGCTATCCTTTGAACTAGCCTTAGAAAAGAAAAATTGCTGAACTGACAAAAGGGAAAAGAATGGCTAGGTATAAAGATAGAACCAGAATACAAAGGAAATGGCATCGCACTTATTACTAAAGAATGACAAAAGCCAATCAAGGGCTAAAATTGTGGACTCAGGTCTAGTGACGGGCAAAAATAAGTATATACCTTTTTTTTCCTTCCCAATCCAGTTAGTAGAAGTAAGCACTCAGCGAAAAAAAAAAATTGACTTTAAAACAACTAATTATTGCAAAATATCCAAGGTATGCCAAATAGTGGAAACAAAAGTATCCTTAAACACAGAAAACAAAACAAACACAAAATATCTTAAGCTTGAAATGATGACTCTCATATGTCACAGAAACTCAATAAAAGTATTTTGAATTATTGGCCTAAACCACTGAATTATAAGGCAAAATTAAAGGAGGTGATATGCTCTCTCTCTTTTAGAAACGAAAAGATTTTGCAATTCTTGAAAATGAGTAGTTATTAAAAATATAGCTCACCTTTTAAAATAGAGCCAACTATAGTAATTAACAATCCCAACTTTATAGGAAGCACTAATTCTGTCATAAACTACATGAATTAGTATATATACTGCTCTATATAAAAATCACATATAATACATTGATAAGTCAATCTGATAGCACACTTCTGTGTAGTTTTCCAGCAATTCCAGATTTACTAAAACTCCCACCCATCATTATTGCCCTACCTAGAAAAATCAAACACTAATACAAGGTAACTAGTGACAGTCTAGTATTATGTCACAAAATATTTTTAATCTCTTTGGACTTGGGGTTAAAAAAATTTCAATATTTATCATTAAGTCTGAGACAAATTTATAAAGGCTTTTATAATAATCCCCACTAAGTATAAAGTCTTACAGATAAAATATAGTCAGAGATATGTATTAAGTGCCTGAAAGACAGATTATATTTGCTCAAACCTTACTTTTGAAGGAATACAGAAGAGAAATTATATAAAATTATGACCTACCTATTGCTACGAAGTAAACGCACTAGTGATTTAGAAATTATGCCAGCTTCAGATTTTGGTGATATGTGCCAATACAGCTGAGCAACTGCCATCACCACCTAAAAGATAAAGCACGAAAATAATAGGAATCATAAACACTGGAATACTCTATAGTTTCAAAATTACATTCGTACACATTATTTTCTTAATGTCTACAAAACTCCTGTGAAGTAAAATGAAATATGTTACTCTTTGTAGTGAACTGAAAAAATTCCTCCCCACAAGTTTCCTCTTCTATACCCAGAATGTAATCTTATTTGTAAAAGGTCTTTGTAGAAATTATTAAGATAAGGAAAGCAATAAGATCATGTTTGATTAGAATGATCCCTAAATCCAATGAAAGTATCCTTATAAGAGACAGAAAAAGACACAGTGAAGAAGTCCATATAAAGACAAAGAGTCAAGAAATGCAAAGACTATAATCAACGGCCATAAGCTAGGAAAGAGACTGTTTCTCTCCCAGAGCTTTCAGAAGAAACCAATCCTATTTATAACTTGATTTCAAACTTCTGACTTCCTGAGATATGACAGAATAAATTTCTGTTGTTTTAATTCATTCAGTCTGTGGCAATTTCTATGACAATGCTAGGAAACACTGTTCAAAGTGCTAACAGTCAGAACATGGCAAAGCTCAACAAGAAACCTAAATTCCACATGCCTCCTAGTACTGCTACTGCTCTCTAAGACTGGGAACTTTTTAAGAATTGTAAGCACAGCCACAAGCAGTGGCTCATGTCTATAATCCCAGCAGTCTGGGAGGTGGAGGCGAGAGGATTACCTGAGCTCAGGGGTTTGAGATAAGCCTAAGCAACATGGTGAGACCTCATCTCTACAAAAAATCAAAAAACCAGCTGGACATTGCGGCACATGACTGTGGTTCCAGCCACTTGGAAGGCAGAGGGGGAATGATCACCAGGAGAATGCCACTGCACTCCAGTCAGGGTGACAGAGTAAGACTCCAACTCAAAAAAAAAAAAAAAAAATTGCAAGCACACCTTTCTAAAATGAAGCCAGACACTGCAGGATAACAGTAACAAGTAGGACAAATAAGGAAAAATCAGTATATTTAAATTATAATTAAAGAAACTCCATTAAAATAATACATCTAAAGCAATAGCATCTGAAGTGATCTTGTTTTTTAAAGTACAGAACTTTAAAAATAGCTTTTAGTTCAAAGTCATTATATGGATGATTAGAATTTCTTTCTCTTATAACATAAGAGTATTGTTTCCCCTAGGTGCTTCTACCCTTAGATTCTAAGTGACTGTTGTAGAGATATAGCTAAGAAGTTATATAAACTTGTCTTTGGCTTAAAAGACATACTAATACTACTTTATTTCTGTTGGTCTATAGAATTTGAACATATATGGCAGAAGTCTTATATATGCCTAAGCAGACAGCAGATAAGAGTGCTTAAGGTAAAAAGAGTTCCTTCTGAAACTTTTTTTTAAAAACCTATATTTTAAAAAACACAGTTTACAAGGTTGTTTACACTGTTGTTTGATATTTGTTACACTTTTTTACAAGATGAAAAAGCTTTCAGACATTGAGAATTTTAAATGCAAGACCATCTCATTTCACTTGTGATCTACAAACATATTTCAGTTATGGAATAAACTCTCCTAAATTAAAAAGCCATAATCATTTTTTTTAAAAATTAAGGTATATACCTGGCTAACAAATATTAGTATGTAAATCATTTTCCATTACAAATAATAAATCTAATCCTACTGGCAAGAAAGTAAATTACTTTCTATAGATGTCAATGTTTTTAAAATTCTAGTTTGGTATGTCAACTGTTCCAATATATTATTAGTCAGGTACTCCAAAATCCAAAAGGACTAAATGATCTTTTCTTAGTATTTACAAATCCAACAGTTGACTAAATATATTCAACCCCATAGGCCTTCTACAGTTACATTATGCATGTTTATAATAAAGTAACTCCTATCAACACTTTTCTATTCTTAAACATTAATGCCACCATCACCTTTTAAAACTTTAGAATAGCCTCCTAACATTCTGCTTTCGGTATCTATCTCCAATTCAATCTACACTGCAATGGCTTATTACGTTTCCTGAAAGAAATTCTCAACGTCTCTCCATAAATTTTAGCATAAAGTTTAAAAAAAAAAATCTATTCACAATTCTTCAGAAGTTAGTCTTTACTCATATTTAGCAGTATCAAAAATAGGGTGCCAAAAATACTAGGACAAAAAGTAAGCTGCCTCTATTTGGTACACCACCAAATAAGCAGAGAACCCAAAATTCCTAGGACAAAAAATACAAACTACCTCAATTTGTTTCACCATTTGAGAACATTTTTGACTAGTAAGTATTTGAACTAAAAAACCAATTTATAAGAAAAAGTTTTATTAATAGTGAGTCACTTATAAAGTAAAGTTTTAGATTGCAAATTACAGGTGCCTATCATCTGGCTATGCTGGGGCACACTAAAACGTACGTATAGTTTACAACATCAGTGAAATAAGATTTTTGTTAAATAATATTTTTGTTAAGACTGGGCTTGGTTAATGTTTTGAAACTATACTGTTAGGTACAGGACAAAGACTGTTGATTACTAAGATATACCAAGTTGTAAGCTCTAAGTTCTCAAAAATCAGAAAACATAAAGTAATTCAAGTAAAATTCCTCATATTCAAGTTTTTACTAGTTAAAGAGAACAATTAAAATAAATTATTTTTTTTTTTTTAGTTGGAGTCTCACTCTGTCACCCAGGCTGGAATGCAATGGCACACTCACGGCCACCCCAGAGTCGACCTGCTGGACTTTGGTGATTCTTCTGCCTCAGCCTTCCAAGTGGCCGGAACTACAGGCACACGCTACCATGGCCGGCTAATTTTTGATTTATTGTAGAGACAAGGTCTCGCCAAGTTGCCCAGGCTGTCTTGAACCCACGGACTCAAACAATCCACTTACTTCGGTCTCCCAAAGTGCTGGGATTACAGGTTGAGCCACTGAGCCTGGCCAAGAACACTTTTTAATTTTAAAAAATTTGAAGAAAGTGTCTAACTTTTAAATCCATCAAGCCTTTAGATATTAACTCCCAGTTATCAGGAAATACGGGGTATAAAAGAATACATTAAACAACAAGATAAAAGAAGCAACCAGACAAACTCAGAAGGATAGTCAGCAAGACTCGAGAGGCTTAAAAATGTAACACAACCAGATGCAATGCATTAGATAATGATTTGGGTAAACCATCCAAAAATGATAATTTAAGATCAGCTGTTATTAAATGAGATAACATTTTAATGAGACAGAAAAATAGATAGGAATGACTAGGGGAAAAAAAGTAAATTAAAAATACTATGCACAGTATCATTTTTATCTTGGTTAAAAATATATGTATAGGTACACATTAATATATATATATTCATGCAAACAAAAAATATCTGGAAGAAAATGCACCTATAACTAATTTCTGAGTAATGAGAATGTAATGCTTTCATTTTCTTTTAAGTTTTGATAGTTTGTATTTTCTAATTTTCTACTGTGTACATGTATTCCTCAAAAATATAAAGGGTTGGCCGGGCTTGGTGGCTCAGCCTGTAATCCCAGCACTTTGGGAGGCCAAGTCGAGTGGATGGCCTGAGCCCAGGGGTTCAAGACCAGCTCGGGCAACTTGACGAGACCTCGTCTCTACAATAAATTAAAAACCAGTCAGGCGCCATAACACGTGCCTATAGTTCTGGCTACTTGGAAAGTTGAGGTGGAAGGATCACCAGAGCCCAGCAGGTTGATGCCGGGGTGGCTGTGAGCGTACCACTGCACTCCAGCCTGGGTGACACAGTGAGACTCCAATTAAAAAAAAAGAAAAAGAAAGAAAAGAAAATTCTATCAGACAGATATAAACAGGAAGGACTGACACCAGATCAAGTACTCTAAGTCATAATGGAGTAACTGAGAAATATGCATAGTCCTTGTATAAGAACTAATATATAATATATAAAGGACTATTGTACATAATTTTATATATATAATGTATATAGAACTACCATATAATTAAGTATATACCATATATAACTATATACTTCCAAGCAACTGAAAAATACATATATTCCACATAAATATGAGAAAAAGCAAGAACTTTATTCTATATAAGTTGTATATATATTATATTATACAACCTATATATATTGGAATATATATATATTCCAGTCAATTTAAAAACAACTTGAGTTCATGTCAGGAAAAGTCAACTAACAAAACCACAAAAATGTAAATGAAGTTCATTAGGCCAGCTACTACCAAGTAGGTATTTTCATCAAAACCCAGTTTTGCATAGAAACATTGAGGGCCGAAATATAATTAGATATGACCTCCCAGAAATTAGGTCTCTAAATCTATAGCTTACATTTCACAATATATTTCCAACTATCTGTCACATTTGGTGTGTCAACAAACAAATCCTCCTCTGGCACACTCAAACTCACAATATGTATATCCTTTTTACGACTGTTTTTAAAAACATTGATGAATTATTTCAGATAAGATTTTTAACATACCGCTGCATTTCTGCTCTGAAGCAAAGGCTTGGTATTTCTAATTAAGAGTCTATGGTCTGGATCCATAATATATGGCTTCTTCCTTTTGTCAGTCTTTTCCTTCTGTTCCTCATCAGATTCATAGAAATTCTTTTCATTGTCTTCCAGAACATCATCCTACAATGACAGAAATCCAAGCTGAAGATTAGTTCAGACCTTGAAAAGTCCAAATATTATAGTCAGAGAAAAGTTTCTTGTGAACATCTACAACAACATTTCACTGTAGAACATTCTGTTGGGGCAATTTTAAAATATTATACAACCTATACAGAATAAAGGTCTTGATTTTTCTCATATTTTATAACACAGTAAAAGTGCTATAGATGATGCTTCTACTATATCACATAGCAAATCTTTGACTATTCAATCTCCACAGTAAAACTACAGTTTTTCAAAGATAACACTTGAAATTAGATTCTAATAAGGCCTACAATATGAGACTACCAAAAATCTGAAAACTATCTCCATAAATTATCAGTCACTGAGTAACTAGATTAACAAGTCAGAAAAAGGAGGAACACGGTCTGAATAATAAAAAGAAATCATAACAAAGCTTGACAAGTAAAGACTAGTGGTTAAGTAGGTTCCTGAGTTGTCAAAAGAAGTCTCAGTTTGAGATTAATGAATACCACAAAAGTTGATTCTCGTTTTTGTTTTGAATTCTTTATCTCTGCCAATAAAATATGCCTATAGACATTTAGTCTCCAAAATAAAGAAACAAAAAGGACACAGAGTACTATTCACATATATCTAGTTCAACTACTCTTTAGAGTTAACTTCTTTTTTTTTTTTTTAAGAGTTGGAGTCTCACTCTGTCACCCAGACTGGAGTGCAGTAGCCACTCCCGGCCACCGCAGCCTCGCCTGCTGGGCTCCGGCGATCCTTCTGCCTCAGCCTTCCAAGTAGGCGGAATTACAAGTATGCACTACCACGCCTGGTTGATTTTTTTATTTATTGTAGAGATGAGGTCTCGCTGCCCAGCCGGGTCTCGAACCTGTGGGCTCAGGCAATCAACTCACCTCAGCCTCCCAAAGGCGCGGGATTACAGGCTGAGCCACCAAGCCTGACTTAGAGTTAACTTCTATTGCCAAGTATCTGAAACACACTTTCTGCTTCCAGGAAGATGGAATAGATGTCCTTTTCCCCCATTTCTCTCAAAATGTCCAACGAGAAATACAGAACATTATATATAAAACAAACAGAAGACTATAAAAGGCAAAGAAAAGGAAGACTAGACAGGGACCGCAAGACCCAAAGAATGACACAACAGTGAGTTCCCTGGGTTTTCTTTCTACTTCATATATCCAAAATTGGGTACCGGAGGAGCTGGCAACAAGTGCAAACAAAAAAACCCCAAAATCTGCTCACTCTAGCCAAAGGACCAAGAAAGGGGCAGTAAAGCAAGACAAAACTTTTCGAAATAACTGCTCAAGTGCAGCCAACACCAGATTGAAAAAATACGGCCTTACTCCACCAGCAAAGGTTGAGATGGCTAACCCACCAGCAAAGGCTGAGATGGTTAACCCAATCACTCCAGTGGATGGTTTCACCAAAGGCTGAGGTGGAACTGAGACTTTAATCTCCACTGAGAGGTAAGAAGGCACCCTCACAGTGTCAGTGGGGACCAAGCGGGATGTTTGAATTTCCAAGCCCACCTGTTAGTGGCAAGGTGATCTTCTTCCTCCCCAAAGTGAAAATGTTCAGACGATGCCCAGTGGACTGTCAGGACTTGCAGCACCACACCTAGTAGTAACCAAAGCCAGCACCATCACACCATGGAGGGACACATATGGAACAGTAATGAGACATTTATATTTCTCCCAGTCAGAGAGCTATTAGGAAAAAATTGGTGGAGAGCCAGAAATCCCATACTCACCTGTGAGAACAACAAGCACCATCCCTCCAAGGAGTCAGTAGAGGCCTCTGAGTGGGAGTCTGGACTTCTACCATGACCGGGCAGTAATGGGATGCCACCTCTCCCTCCCACTACCACCTTTCCCTGCTGGAGTGGTGTCAAACAAAGCCAGCTAAACAGAAGGTTTAAATAAGATCCAGTCTCAAAGTATTCCACATGCCATGTTTCTATTTTTAAAAATTACTCATCACTCCAAGAGACAGGAATATCTCAAACTTGATTTAAAAAAAAGATGATTAGCAGATGCCAACACCAAAATAACAGGAGATACTGAAATGATATAATAAGGATTTCAAAACAGTCATTACAAAAATGCATCAGTGAACAACTGGTAACAAATTAAAGAATTTAAAAAAATAGAAAGTCTTAGCAAAGAATTAGAAAGTCTAAACAAAGAAAAAGAAGATACAAATAAAGACCAAATAAAAATGTTATAGATGAAAAATACAAGAACTAAAACTAAAATCTTGGCCAGACGTGGTGGTTCACACCTGTAATCCCAGAACTTTGGGAGGCTGAGAGAATTGTTTGAGCCCAAAAGCTCAAGAGCAGCCTGGACAATACAGCAAGACCTCATTTCTTATTAAATATATATATATTTTTAAAAAACTAAAAATGTAATGAGGGGATCAAAAACAGAAAGGAGGGGACCAACTGAGGAAACAATCAGTAAACTGGAACACAGAACCACAAAATTTATTCAATCTGAACAAAGAGAAAATAAACTAGGGGTAAAAAATAAATGAAAATCTTAAAGCATCCTGAATTTTATCACACATCTTTAAAAAAAAATTTTTTTTTAAAGAAGTAGACATGAAAACCTACAAAAAAAAAAATTAAACAACAGAGTGTCAGGGACCTGAGGAACTACAATAAAAGATTAAGCATTCATTTCATCTGAATCCTGGAAGGAAAGAAAAAAAAGGGAAGGGCTGAAAAGAACTCAAAGAAATAATGGCTGCAAACTTCCTAAATTTGGCAAAAGACATAAAATTACAAATTAAGGAGGCTGAACAAACCCAAAACAGGATAAACCCAAAGAAATCCATATCAGCACACATCATAGTCAAACCTCTGAAAACTAAAGACAAAGACAAAAATCTTGAAGGTAGAATAAGGGAAGTGGCACTTTCCCTTAAGACAAAAATAACTCAAATGACAGAAAATTTCTCATCAAAAATCGAGGCTAAAAGAAAGTAGAGTAACATTTTAAGTGCCGAAAAGAGTAACTACCAACCCAGAAGTCTTACATCTAGCAAAAATGTCTTCACTTCAGGAATGAAGTGAAAAAAACTCAAGACATTTTCAGATGAAGGAAAACTAAAAACCAACAGACCTATCCTAAAAGTATGGCTAGAGGAAGCTCTTAAACAGAAAAGATACGATTAAAAAATAGAATCTTCAAATATCAAGAAGAAAGAACATGATAGGGAAAAATACCGATAAATACAATTACTTTCCTTTCTCCTCTGCATCTTCTAAATTATGTTATATCATTAAAGCCAATGTCGTGATACTGATAAGGTTTTAATTGCATGTAGAGGTCATACTAAAGAAAACTATATTTATAAAGTGGGAGAATAAAGAGATGAAAGGGGGTAAGTGGTTAAAAATTTTACCACAGTGTAACATAAGGACACCAGAAGACTGATAAGTTATGACTATATATTATGTAATACCTATAAAAACCACTAAAAAAGCTACACAAAGAAATACATTCAAATGGATTATAGATAAGTAAAAATGAAATCCTAAAAAATGTTCAAGTAACATACAATAAGACAGGAGAAAAACAGAAGCTAAGAATAGAGAGAACAAACAGAAGACAAATGACAAGCAGAATTAAACCTTAAAAATCAAAAATTGGATTGAATGTACATAAATATATCAACTAAAAGACAAAGACTGCTAGAGTAGATTAAAACACATAGCCCAAATATATGCTGCTATAAGAAGCTCACTTCAAATATAAAGATACAGACAGGCTGAAAATAAAAGGATGGAAAAAATATATAACATGCTAATATTAATCAATATAAATCAGAAATGGCTATATTAAAATCAGATAAAGATAAACTTCAGAGCAAATAAAATTACTACAGAGAGGGATATTATATAATCACAAAATGCATAATCTGGCTGGGTGCAGTGGCTCAAGCCTGCAATCCCAGCACTTTGAAAGGCCGAGGCAAGATGAGTCCAGGGGTTCGAGACCAGCCTGGGCAACTTGGTGAGACCTCATCTCTACAATAATTGAAAAAAAGCCAGTCTTGGTGGCACACGCCTGGAGTTTCAGTTACTTGGAAGGCTAAGGCGGAAGAATCGCCGGAGCCCAGCAGATCGACACTGGGGTGGCCGTGAGCATGGCACTGTACTCCAACCTGGGCGAAAAAGTGAGACTCTGACTCAAAAAAAAAAAGCATAATATACAAAAAAGGTTATATATCATAAAATTACATTTAAATAACATTCTTGAAATGACAAATTACAGAAATGGAGAAAAAATTAATGGCTGCCAGGGGTTAAGGATGGGAGTGAAGTTAAGTAACTGGAAGAAAGTGAATTTAGCTATAAAATGGCAACATGAAGGCTCCCTGTGATGAAAATGTTCTGAACCTTGACTATATCAATGTCAATATATTGGCTGTGTAGTTTTGCAACATATTACCATTGGAGGAAACTGAGTAAGGGTTATACCAGATCTCTCTGAATTATTTCTTACAATTGCATTTAAACTATCTTTAAAAAGAAGTTTAACTGAATAAAATTAAGTAGATGAAAATCAGTAAATCACAGTAAAAGCAATTTGTTGTCTTTATGCATTACTATAATACAACAATATAGAAAATTATCTAAAATGTTTTAGATTATTATCATTGAATGAAGTATTTTTCTATCGCTAAATGCTTACAGATAATACAAAATATTTACTTAAATCTTGATATAAATATCACTGGAAAACACTTTTTATCAAAGGAATAACTTTTAGGTCTCTTAGAAATAAAAAATAATATTAGCTCAGTGTGTTTTAAATTCACGATAAAAAATTTCAATAAATTATTCAAACAGAAAATGTATAAAACTTGTACTCTTTGAAAAAAAGTACTTAATGATATTCATCTTCAAAATTGAACTCAAAATTATAATATTATCCCTGTCCTTTGAATGCACAATTCAAAATAAACAAACGTCTAGTCTCTTA